TTTAGAACAGGGAATGTCAGGTCTGGGAAAGCCTTGGAACAGGGGATGTCAGGGCTGGGAGGGACTTTAGAATAGGGAATGTCAGGTCTGGGAAAGCCTTGGAACAGGGGATATCAGGGCTGGGAGGGACTTTAGAACAGGGAATGTCAGGGCTGGGAGGGTCCTTAAAACAGGTGATGTCAGGGCTGGGAGGGGCCTTAGAACAGGATGTCAGACCCGAGGGGTGCCTTAGAACAGGGGATGTCAGGGCTAGGAGGGCCTAGGAACAAGGAATGATAGACTTAAAGGGGGCCTTTAGAACTTGGGTATAGAATGTTAGTGCTGGAAGGAAACTTTAAGGTCTGTCCCCCAGATTTGTAGTGTCAGAAACTGAGGCCCAGAGAGAAGTGAATTGCCTGAGGCCCTCTGGAGCTTGAAAGAGGCAGAACCAGGCCTGGCACACACATCTCCTGCTGCCCAGGTCCTTCTGTTCATTCCACCTGGTGGACAGTGGTGGGGGTGGGGGTGGGGTGGGAGGTGGACATGAGGCCTTTGGGAGGGGAGAAGAGAACAGGTTCAGGCCTCATCCTCACTCCTCCCCTTGTCTCATGTTCTTTTTCATCACAGTGTTGACTACATCCTAAACGTCACCAGAGAAATAGACAACTTCTTCCCAGGCCTCTTTGCCTACCACAACATCCGGGTCTACGATGAGGAGACCACGGACCTCCTCGCCCACTGGAATGAGGCATATCATTTCATAAACAAAGCCAAGTGAGTGAGGGGAGGCACACGATTGTAGGGAATCCCCAGCTTGGGCTTGTCTCTGAGTTAATCAACATTTATTAAGCAACTGCTGTGTGCCAGGCACTTCGAAGAGTGTGGGCTGTTCTGGAGCCCAGGGAGAGAAAACACCATGGCAAGGGTTTAGTAAAGATCTCATCTGTGCCAGCCTCAGTGCTGGGTCCAGGAGGCCAAAAATGCCCCAAATGGTCTCTGCCCTTAAGAAGCTTCCATTCCATCAATCCAATATCAGGATCATGGCTGTTGTGCCTACTTCCCAGGGCTTTGCAAACTCTAAAGCACTTTATGAATCCAAGCGATTATTATTATTAATAACAACAACAACAGTAATTGAGAAGCAGTGTGGCCGAAAGGGCAGAGAGCTGCCCTTGAAGCTTACTTCGAGTCTTTGTCAATCGTGCCCTTTGTGAGCCTGGCCAGCCTTCAGTGCCCCGGGGCAGCTCGGCTCTCACATTTCACAGCAGATTGCGGATCTGTTTAATGAAGGGACTTTCCTCCTTCTGGAGTTCCCAATACCTAATGAAATCCCAGCTCGTTGATGGCTTCCTGGGCCATTCTCACTAATCTGAAAGGTGAGGGGCCCGGCAGCCTCAGCGACTGAGCACAGGATGCCGAGATGGTTCATTCGCAGTTTGTCTATTTAAATGTGCGGGAGCAGAGAGAATTCGGGCCTTTCAGTTTAACATCAGGAGATAAAATAATCTTGGCCTTGGGAGAGCGCTCTGGTTCATGAAGCTCTCAGGGCTCATTTGATCAATGAGGCAACCCTGCAAGGTACGACAGGGACTCCACCAGTGATTTTCCCGGTTCTGGAAACTCCTGGATGAGGAGCCTCCCCAGGTGGCGCGGTGGATAGAGTGCCAGGCCTGGAGTCAGGTAGATTCATCGTCCTGAGTTCAACTCCAGCCTTGGGCATTTACTAGCTGTGTGACCCTGGGCAAGTCACTTCACCCCGTTTGCCTCAGTTTCCCATCTGTAAAATGAATTGGAGAAAGAAACGACAAAACTCCAGTATCTTTGCCAAGAAAACCCCAAATGGGATCACAGAGAGTTAGACACAACTGAAAAAAAATGACTGAATAACAACACCTAAACACTAAGAGGTTACATCATTTGACCAGGGCCTCACAGTCATTATGAGCCCCAGGTGGGACTTGTACCCAGGTCTTCTTCATTCTGAGATCCTTTCCCCGAGATACCAAGCTGCCCTCCATTCTTTCCTCTATACTTTGTATAGAGAAAACAAGTCTATAATATTAAAATAATAATATCAGCTAGCAATCCTAGAATGCTTTAAGCCCTGCAAAGTACTTTACAAATATTACCTCATTTTATCCTCACGACAACCCTGGCAGAGGGAGGTACTATTAGTGTCCCCATTTTACAGTTGAGGAAACAGGCAGAGGTGGAGTGTCTCGCCCAGGGTCACACAGCTAGGTAGATTTGAAATCAGGCCTTCCTGACTCCCAAGTCCGTTGCTCGGTGTACTTTGCCACGCTGCCCCCATGATGTAAACACTTGCTACCCTCGAGAAGCTTATAGTCTCCAGCTGGGGATAGAGGGTTGGTGGTGTGTGATGGATGCACAGGTAAGTGAGCTGCCTGATAGAGTGTGTTAGGGGCAGAGAGAAGAATCAGACAAAGAACTCTAGGGAGACTGGGGGAGGAAGTGGCCATATGACTCTCAAAGGCCGAACTTGTATTCAAACCCACGTCTGACTCCAGATCTGGCCCTTTTCCCACTTTACCATATGTGCATCTTGGCCCTGGCTCTGACACTTTCTGTTTGACCTTGAGAAAGTCATCCTCTGTGCTCCCTCAATTTTTTCTGTTAAAAAAAGGGGGGTGGGGGTGTTAGACTCTGTGACCTCCAAGGTCCCTTCCGGTCCCTGTAAATCCTAACTCTTCTGCTTCATAGACATGTGCCACTTCCCTGGGCCTCCATTTTCTCACCTGTAAAATGGGTATAATATTGGCACTACTTATATAAACCTTAAAGCATTATGGAAATAAGAGCTAATGGGTTCTTTTCTTCCAAGGACCAAGATATACTGGTCTCTTCTTCACCCAGCGCCTGGCACTGAGTAGGTACTCAGTAAGTGTTTGTTGACTGACTATATTCACGTCACAACGGGAAGGTCCAGAAGTCCCTTAAGAGAGACTCTTAAAGACTTGTGGGCTCCAAAGAGCATTGATTTGGAACATGGAATTTGAAGGGAGGACGCCGGCACATCTCACGCCCCCCTCCTCCCCGGCCGGCAGAGCAGCTGTGGGTAGCATAAACAGTCTGGCTGCCAGATCATTACCTTCAGCCCAAATAAAGGTCTGCCCATTCCTTATTCCAGGTGCTGCCCTTCCTTCCTCTAGCCAAGCGAGCCAAGCCAGGCTGATCTCCCTCCCCTCGGGCCCCCCTGGCACGTCTGTCATCAAATCACCCCTTTCCCCAGATTCCTGAGGATAGTGAAAAGTCTTCGTTTGGTGCCAGGCCATGAGTTCTGGAGCTCAAAGGCTGTTTGATCTGGGAGAAAGAGGTCCATTTCTAGAATACAAGAACAATGATTAGAGAAGTCTAGAACTGCAAGAGATCTCACAGGCCAACTGGTCAACCCCCACATTTTACAGTGGAGGGAGCAGAAGCCCAGGGGTCAAAGACATGCGGGCTCCCCGATCTCAGGCTGGAAGGGCCTTCACCTAGTGACGAGTTCCTAGGCCAACACCCTCATTTCACAGAGGAGGAAAAGGAGACTGGGAGAGTTTGACTCACCCAGAGTCACACTAGTAGTGAATACCCGGCAAGATCTGAACCTGGTCCTCTGGCTCCCAAGTCAGGGCTGTTCTCCCCTGCCCCACCCCTTCCAAGCGTTATGACACAGAATATTAGACCTGGAAATGCTTACTGCTACATTGCTATTTATCATAAGGCTTAGAGCCAGAAGGGGCTTTCTTTTGGTGAGGCAATCTGGGTTAAGTGATTTGCCCAGGGTAACACATCTAGTAGGTGGCAAATGTCTGAGGCCAGAATTGAACTCAGGTCCTCCTGACTCCAAAGCTGGAGCTCTATCCACTGCGCCATCTGGCTGCTGCCTTCTTTTTTTATTCTTTTTTTGGTGAGGCAATCTGGGTTAAGTGACTTTCCCAGGGTCACACAGCTAATAAGTGTCAAGTGTCTGAGGCCAAATATGAACTCAGGTCCTCCTGACTCCAAAGCCCACGCTCTATCCATTTCACCACCTAGCTGCCCAAAAGGGGCTTCGTGTTATCGTTCAGTCGTTTCAATGGTGACCCCATTTGGGGTTTTCTTGGCAGAGATACTGGAGTGGTTTGCCATTTCTTTCTCCGGCTCATTTGACAGGTGAGGAAACTGAGGCAAATAGGGTTACGTGACTTTCCCAGGGTCACACAGCTAAGTGTCTGAGGCTAGATTTGAACTCAGGGTCTTCCTGATTTCAGCCTGGCGCTCTATGCACTGTGGTGCCACCTATTCCCCCAAGAAGGGGCTTGAATATCATTTCTTCTAGTCAAATGGCTCTGCCACCGTTCGTTAGACACAACATTCCACGGCCATCCCAGATGCCTGGAACGCTCTGTCTCCTCCCCTGTGTCTGGCTTCCTCTTTCTGCAACACCCCGCTCAGCTGCCGCCTCTTAAGCAAGGACCTTAAGCCCCGACCCCCACCTCCCCAGCTATTAACGCTCTCTCCTTCTAGAAATTACATTGCAGTCTTTTCTTTCCTCTTCTCTTTGTGCTCCAGACCTCTGATTCTGTAACTGTAAGGTACTCCCAGTGAGGAAATTCCCTTCCCCAATGCAGATCAGCACCCACTCTGAACCTTGCCATCTTAACTGAGTTGCCTGAGGTGGAATTTGAACTCAGGTCTTCCTGACTCTGAGCCCAGCTCTTTGTCTACTCTTGCATCTAGCTGCCCCTATTCAAATCAATTCAGTCATGGTGTGGTGAACAGGGCCTAGGAATTGGAATTGGAAAGAACTAGGTTCAAATCCTGCCACAGACACTTAAGAGCTGTGTGACCCTGGACAAGTCAGTTTAACTCTATCAACCTCAGTTTTCCCATCTATACAAAATGAGGATTGGCTGTACAGCTTTTAAGGTCCTTTAAACTCTAAAGCTATGGTCCTATGAATTAAATTGAATTAGAGCCAGGCTTGAGCTGGACCTCCTAAGAAATCTGGCTCCAATTGCTCTTTGTTCCCTTTTCTCCACAGGGAGGCTGCTGCTCCCTGACCCCCTGGCTTGTGTCTCACCTGCTTTTCTGCCCTGCCCCACCCGGCCCCTCTCAGATGACAGACTCCCCCATAGGATTTTCTCTGGGGCCAGGCCTGACTCCCCCACAGGATCTTTTTTGGGGCCAAGACCTGCCTCCCCCATAAAATCTTCTCCAGGGCCAGGGCCTGCCTCGCCTCCCCCATAAGGTCTTCTCCAGGGCCAGGGCCTGCCTCCCCATAAGATCTTCTCCAGGGCCAAGGCCTGCCTCCCCATAAGATCTTCTCCAGGGCCGGGGCCTGCCTCCC